ATGTATGTATGTATGTATGTATGTATGTATGTATGTATGTATGTATGTATGTATGAATGTATGCATGTATGCATGTATACATGCATGTATGTATGTATGTATGCATGTATGTAATGCATGTATGTATGTATGTATCTATGTATGTATATACCTACCTACCTTAATTTTACCATGCAAAGCTCATTTAGATCACAGATCTTTTTGTAAGGCAGCCTATCACACATTCTTTCTTAGTTGTGTTATTTATTTATTTTTAAAATAAGGCAGCTTCCATCAGCCCTTTCAGTGCCTAACTGCTGATGTTGTTTCTCACCTCCAAACTTTGCTTGATACAAGTTCCACAGGGTTCCTCTGAGACCTTCCAGCCTATTGGCCCCCTGGTGCCAGGGACAGGGGGCACCCATCCAGTTGTCTCCTGGATGGGTTAGAGTCTTACAGTTCTTCATTTGTCCAACATTGCTTGCTTCTGACTTTGTGTGAGGGGGAAAAAAACAATTCACCCAAAGGAAACCTGTGCCCACAAGATTTTTTCATGATGTTTAGATACTTTCAAGCTTAAATAAAACATTCATCTAAAATAAAATGTTGCTTTTCTTCACAATAATGGTATATTTGTTTATTCCTCACATAAATATTTTAACCTTGTAGGTGATATTAACAGAATTTCTATGGTTTGATTCCAGGCTGAGAATATTCCAAGTCCAGTTGTCACAACAACCGCCAACTCTGCTGGTCCCAAGATCAACCCCACGTCTAGGTGGTCCAAAATAAAGATCGTCACAAAGCAGGCCGGAGACGAGTGCATCACGGCCATTGAGATTGTCCCACCGGTGGAGGGAGCTGAGAGGCGCTCAATCCCCATCAGCCGCCCGAGGACCGTGGCCAGGAAGTTCGCCAGTATCGCCAGAAGTCAGGTGAAAAGGAAACGACAGATGGCTGCGAGAGAGAAGAAGGTTGGTAAAAACACTGAATAATACTCTCCAACAGGTGTTCTGGTTCTGGTAAACCCAGCTGGTCGAAGCAGATGGCTGCTTTTCCTGAGGTGTTCTGGTCCACCTGTGTGCAGGTGTTCTGTTCCACTCCTCATGATCAAACTGCTCCAGCTGTCTTAGTTCTCAAGGTTACTTGTCCAGATGTTTCAGCTCCTTCTCCAAATGTTCAACAGGATTTAGATCAGGGCTCAGTAGACTACCTCAGAACAGTCCAGTGTTTTGTTCTGATCCAGTCTTGGTGTTGTTAGCTGTGTGTTTTGGGTGTTCATCCTGTTAGAAGATCTATTTTATTATTTATTAACCTTTATTTAACCAGGTAAATCCCATTGAGATCACAGATCTCTTGTTCAAGGGAGGCCTGGGCCTGAAGGCAGACTAACATGCATGTTTTTGGTCTGTGGAAGGAAACTGGAGTACCTGGAGAAAACCCACACAAGCACGAGAAGAACATGCAAACTCCACACAGTAAGACCCCAGGTCTAACCAGGGATTGAACCCAGGACCTTCTTGCTATTAGGCAACAGTGCTAACCACTGGGCCATTGTGCTGCCAAACGACTGAGACCAAGCTGTCTGACTCTTGGCAGAACATTTGTCTCAAGAATACCTTGATAATCTTGAGATTTTATTGGACCCTGCACAGATTCAGGACCCCCTATTCAGATGCAGCAAAGCAGGACCAGAACAGACCCGAGCCTCCTTCATGTTTCTCTGTAGGTCCATGGTTCTGTTTTGTTGTTTCAGTTTTGGTTCTGGACACAACGATGATGGACTTGTTGTCAAAAAAGTTTTGTCCAGCTTTGTCTCATCTGTCCAGAGGACACTGACCCAGATGCTTTGAGGTTTCTCAAGATGCAATTTGAGAAATTCCAGACTGTATCTTGGTGTCCTCCTCGTTTGTCATGAAGTCCACTTTTTCTCAAATAGTGATAGATGGTGTGATCTGACACTAATGACCTTTGACCTCAGAGGTCACCTCTAATCTCTTGAAATTGCTCTGAACTCTTGGGTTATCATCTGTATTATCTGTCTCTTCAGTCTGTCATCAGTTGTTCCCTTGTGGACATGTCCTTGGACGTTGTCTCCAGTCCTGTGGACTTGAACATTCTGAATTATCTGTGCATATGTAGACAGAGGAACATCAAGCTGATGGATATGGTCTGATAGTCTTTACCTTCAACATGATGTCAGTGTCTTTTTGAGCTCCTGAGACAACTCTTTCCTTCCTGTGGTCCATGTTCACTGTTACACACTATGATTGCAACACTTGCTCTTCTCAAGGGCAGACGTCTCCTCCTCTCCCTCTCTGCTTTGCTTTTGCTCTGTCTGTCTGTGAAACTGCTTTAGAGCCTCTCTTCTACAAATCTTCCGAATCATAACTATGGACTTGGATTTAGTCAGTTGGTCCCTCAACACAATTGATAACATTTCTTTTAAGAGAAGACAGGCTTTAGGCGAGCCGATTTGCCCTGCTGGCATGCACGCAGCTGGATATATCATTGACTTTGAAGACTTGATGACGTGTCTATCTCTGCTCTCATCTGTGGATTTTAAGGACACATTTATATTTGGATTTATGATAACTGGTTCTTGCTTTTTGGATTCGGCTGGTGCCTGGTCTATCAACAATCAAGGAAGTCATGGGCAGCAAATCTGGACCTGGTCAGGCTGTCTGCCTTATATGATGGCTTGGTTCGTGCCTTGAGCACCCAGACTCTTGGCAGACTGGATCAGATCTCGAAGATTATCCACAGGCACATTCCATTGGTATGGTCATTTAATTTGGACATTTCAGAACTGAGTGGACCAACACAGACTCAAGGTAGCTGTCATTAAAGTTCTGCCTGTCCCCAAAACAATTGTGTTTATCTGAATTCAGCTCCCTGACTGGCCTTGACAGGCCATCTTATCTCAACCCCCCTGGAAGTTTTGTAAACTTGATGCTCTACCCCTCCCCTCCTATTGAGGAATTTCCATGGACTTTTCAGAGGGGCCCAGCTGAAAAAACATTCTATCATCATTCTATCATGTCCTGCACTTGAGGAATCTCCTCTCTGAACTATCATAAAACATGTCTTCACGGGAGGAAAAGTGGAACTTCTTAGAATGTGAGTTGGAGGCTTCTAAATGAGGTATAGGCTCGTAAAAATATTCTGTTTGTCTCACTGTCCTCTGGCTTTAGTGCCTAGTGCAAGAGGAGTGAGTGGACAATGTATGAAGCTGTAAATGTTGTGGGGTTAGAGGAGCACACCCCACTGAAATTAAGAAGAAATGGTAAATGATAAATGGACTGTACTTATATAGCACCTTTCTAGCTTATCAAGATATGCAAAGTGCTTTACATTACAATCTGTGCCCTCATTTACCCATTTATACAGAACTCCACTTTATCTATACAAAGAATAATCAGTGCTTTAGATCACATTTATACAACTATGGGACACACATCAAAGACAACGAGGGGTTCATTTTCTTGCCCAGGGACACTTTGGCATGTGACTGCTGGTGGAATCGAACATCCAACTCTCCTATTGGAGGACAACTACTTTAATCACTCAGCCACAGCTGCCCCCTTTGATCAGACATGTTAGGATGATTAAATTAATCTACTCACCAAAAAGCCCCCCATCCCACACCATGCTAGCTTGTAGTCTGTCCATGTTGCTCATTAGAATGAGTGAATCATGTGTTGAACCAGGCCACCTCCCCACAATGTTGGTTCACATTGTGGGAAGGTGGACTGGTACAGGTTGTTTTTGCACATTACATTTAATTTGAACATTTTTTGAATGAAAATGCTTCCTGTTAACATAGACATATTCATCCTTTGATGATGCTTTTATAGCAATGTGTGTGCAGTCTATAGCTCCAACTACATTAAGAAACCCAGTTGTCGCTGCAAAATGCTCTTTAAGATAGACCTGTTGAACTGCAATGTAGGAATTTAATGTTTGCCTGTTCAGCTGCATTGTGGTAATTTGATATACCTGGTTGACATACAGATAATTCCATCTCACTTAGCTAGCATGGCTTGGCTCAGGGTGGACTGGCACAGTCCAATCGGTCTGCCAGCTCCCTCTGGAACTCAGAGTCTCTCCTGGATAACTGAACTTCTCACCTTATCTCTAAGGGAGAGTCCGCTACCCTGTGGAGAAAACATTTTAACCACCTGTGTCCACAATCTCATTCTTTCTGTCACTACCCAGAGTTTATGACTATAGGTGAAGGTAGGAACGTAGATAGACCGGTAAACAGAGAGCTTTGCCTTACAACTCAGCTCTCTCTTCACCACAACAGATCAGTACAGAGTCTGCAATACTGTAGATGCTGCACCAATCAGTCTATCAATCTCATGCTCCATTCTTCCCTCACTCATGAACAAAACCCCAAGATACTTGAAGTCCTCCACTTGAGGCAGAACATCATCCTTGACCTCAAGAGAGCAATCCACCCTTTTCCAGTTGAGGACCATGGCCTCAGATTTGGAATTGCTGATTCTCATCCCAACTGCTTCACAGTCGGCTGCGAACCGCTCCAGTGAGAGCTGAAGATCACAGCATGATGACACCAACAGGACTACATCATCTGCAAAGAGCAGAGATGGAATCCTGAGGCCACCAAACCGGAAACCCTCCACTTGCTGCCTGCACTGAGAAATTCTGCCCATAAAAGTTATGAACAGAATTGGCGACAACGGGAAGCCCTGGCAGATTTGAACTCCCACCCTGAAAGGGTTCGACTTACTACCGGCAATGTGAACCAAACTCTTGCACTGCTTGTATAGGGACTGGACAGCCCATAGAAACGGGCCCCCAATCCCATACTCACGGAGCACCCCCCACAGTGTACCCCAAGGAACATGGTCAAATGCCTTCTCCAAGTCTACAAAACACACGTAGACTGAATGGGCAAACTCCCATGACCCTTTGAGGACCTTAGAGAAGGTAAAGAGCTGGTTTGACCAATGATCAGACTCGCTTTTCCAGTACCCCTGAATAGACCTTACCAGGGGGGCTAAGGAGAGTGATGCCCCTATAATTGCAGCACATTCTCTGGCCCCCCTTTTTGAAGAGGGGAACCACCAACCCAGTCTGCCAATCCAATGGCACTGCCCCTGATGCCCACATGACTTTGCAAAGGTGTGTCAACCAAGACAGCCCCACAATATCCAGAGCCTTAAGGAAATCAGGGTGAATCTCATCCACTCCTGGAACCCTGCTGCCTCGGAGCTTTTTAACTACCTCGGCGACCTCAACCACAGTTATGGATGGATCAACCCCAAAGTCCCCCAACTCTGCTTCCTCCATGGAAGACATGCTGGTGGGATTGAGAAGGTCTGAGAAGTATTCCTTCCACCTCCCAACAACATCACTGGTTGAGGTCAACATCACCCCACCTTCACTGAACACAGTGTTAGTAAAGTGCTGCATTCCCCTCCTCAGCTGCCTGATGGTTTGCCAGAATCTCCTCAGAGGTGACTGAGAGTCTCTATCCAAGGTCTCACCAAACTTCTCCCACATCCGAGCTTTTGCCTCAGCAACATCCAAGGCTGTGAATTGCTTGGCCCTTCGGTACTCCTCAGCTGCCTCTGGAGTCTGGGGCTGCACACATTTCCATAGTCATTTCATTCTTGATACATCTGAAGTTATGCATGAAAAGGGGCATACGCTATATGTCTGTGCATACTCACCATGTGTACATGAGGCCCCAGAACTGGTGCTGGACCTGGTTCTTACCTGGTTCCTTCAATAAAAGTAGAACCAGTTTGGTTTTCCAGAGCCATAACGTCAGCTCAATACATCCCATTAAACGTCTGTTCCAGTAAGGACGAGGTTCTCCCTGTGCTCTGTTCATATCGTCAGTAGATGATCAAAGTGCAGAGATACACTTTTATCTCCACAGATCTGAGGCTGTGTGTCTGACTAACATCACTCTGTTTTACTGTATACATAAACTGTTTTA